AGAAAAAAGAAAAAGAAAAAGAAAAGTCCATGTTCTAATGGACTCACTGCTAATTTAGAGAAGATATAATGCTACTACTCTTCAAACTTTTTAATGAAATTAAAAAAAAATCAGAGAATATTTCAGCCAAAAGAGAGAGCCACAGATCAGTTGCCCTAAAGAAAATAGACACAAAAACACCCAATACAATAGTGGAAAACAGAATGCAGTAAATCAACAAGAAGATTATATGACATGACCCAGTAGAGGATTCATCACAGGAATACAGGGATGGTTCAACATATGCAAATCAGTAAATGTAATATACCATATCAACAGAGCCAAGGACAAAAATTACACTATCATCTCAATACACTCAGAAAAGTGTTTGACAGAGTCCAATACCCATTTGTGATAACACAGAAAGTCGGAATAGTTTGTTTTATTCTCAATCTGATAAAGCCATCTATGACAAATATTCAACATAACTTGCCATTGAGAGATGAAATTTAAATGAACTATGAAATTCCATCTGACTCTAGAAAGAATGGATATTATCTAGAAATAAACAATAAAAATGCTGGGGGGCTGTGGGAAAAAAGAAACCCTTCTCCACTGTTGGTGGGAGTATAGACTGGTGCAACCATGGTAGAAATTAGTGTACAGATTCCTCAAAAATCTAAAACCAAAGGTCTATTCAACTCAGCTATTTCCCTTCTTGGTATCTTCTCAAAAGAATTTAAAGCATCATACCACAGTGATACATGCATGACTGTACAAAGCAGCAGTCTGTAGCTAAATCCTGCAAACAGCTCAAGTGCCCATCAGGTGATGAATGGATAAAGAAGATGTGAGAATTTTCTATATAATGGAGAGCTACTCAGCTATAAAGAACAATAAACGTGAAACATTTTTGGGCAAATGAATACACCTTGAGACCGTACTCTAAATAAAATAAATGTGTAAATATTACACTGTCTTTCTTGTGTTAGAAACAGAAATTGTAAGTAAGGACAAAATGTATAATGATGTGAAAGGGGAAGAAATTGTTAAAATGGAAGGGGGAACTGGAGGGGTGGGGTGAGGCAGAGCAGAATGAAGGGAAAAGAAGAAAAACAAGAAAAGGATAAAATAGAAAAGGAAAAAAAGAAAAAAGAAGAATAAAATGGAAACAAAGCTTTGTAAATAAATAGAAGAAAAGAGGTTGTAGGGAGGATAGTGGAATGTGAAAAAACCAAGAATCAAGATATGTCATGTACAGGTACAAATTCCCTTGATAAATGTGAGCTTCATGTATGCCTGACTGTACCAATAAATATGGTATAAAAATAAGTTATCAGCTTAGGGGAATTGTCAATGTAAAATCCAGCTAGAATTTCTTAACTCTGCTACTCTCTCTTGCTTGTTCATCAGTGATTAATGTGAAAGCAGTATTGTACAAATAACTTTATTTGAGGTTCTGGAGACATAAATTTTCAGAAAACAATATGTATTCCAAAGAGAACCCAAAGAACTTGCATTTATGAAGGAGAAAACTAGGCTGGAAATATACCTCAGGGTTGCAGTACCTGTCTGGGAAGTGTGAGGTCATACGTTTGAGTCCCAATACAAAATTTAAAAAAAAGGGAAGAAACCCACCCTAATGACTGGTTCAGGTGAGCTGCAAGTGCAGAGCTGGCCAGTCAACTCGCAGTCATACATGCAGGAGGCTCGCAGTCTTTAGGTGTGATTTGTCAGATGTTCTCCAGGCTCCAGCTTGCCAAAGTGATTCTATCTTAGCTAGAATTGCCCATGCTTTCATAAACTTTGTATTATATTTCCTGACTTTCATGCAGCTGGGCCTTAGGTGGTACTCTGGGGAAAGATGCCTATCTGTGTCACTTAATCTCTACAGGGAGATGAGTCCTAGTCTCTCCATCAATAAATTATGAATAAAGAGATATGTCTTTCAATACTATTGTGAAAATTTAATAAGAAATAATATGATGAGAATATATAGCAGAACCGGAATTCAAATTCTCTACATAAGGGATTTAAAGTTTAACATGTCAATACTTGCTGGAAAACATCTGTTCCATGTTATATCTAAGATGTTTTGATATTCAGACAGATAGTGAGGGTAAACTCAACTGTCTATGTTAAAGGGTAATGATATCATTAAGCTTCTATCCTGGAGGGTTAACAACTTAAGTTTGCAGACCAAAAATTAGAGAAAAAGAAGGGCTGCAAGGACAGTCAACATTTGGCCCTAGCCTTTCAAGATCAGTGAGGACTCAGGACATAGGAGAACCTGTGCTGTAACATCATATAACTCAGGTGTGTCCCAAACTTTCTGATCAAGGAGATTATGAGGCCACAGAGAAATATGATCGATGATGTACAGTGTGCCTGGGGAGAGTAACATGGATAGAAAACATTCTCTCAGGCTTTAACAGAGAGCACATTGGTCAAGCAATGGCCGTGACTCATCCACATGGCTGACACTGACAAAGGATCCACAAACTGTAGTATGAAGTTTCAGGGTAAATCCTGAGGGAATTTGACTGACCTTGGCAGATATAAAAGTTACATTTCGTGTTATATAGGTCTTGCTTTATCTTGGTCTTAAACATCCAACAAAAAGTATAAAAACAAGGTATGAAAAGTAAAGCCATATTAATATCTTGAGCTGTAAAGGGCTCAACTTAACTTCTGACATTGCCAGTTCTACGGATAATCCACTGCTATTATGGACTACTGGACTATATTGGATTATTTTGCTGAATTCATGCACCTACAATATTTAGATGTCAATGGAATACCCATCTCTGACAAAACTAAACACAAAAGGGGATAGAAATGAAGGACCATTTTGTATCTGTATATACAAAATAGTTAGGATAGATATACAGCTACTTTCCCTTAATTCAATGAGAAGCAAGATTTGTACTAATAGTGTTTGGATAGGATATCATGTGTGCATCTTGCATTATGAATAATTACCACAAAGACAACAATATGCAATGTACTAATGATTGAAACTGCCCTACTAATCAGTTTTGAAACTGTCTCTTTGCTATTTGTTTCTCAATAAAATTAAAAGTAGCAAATTCCCTACATAGTTCATTGTCTTTCTTTGTTTACTTCTCTCTTCTCTGAGTTGTAAAATTCCTGTAAAAATTTAAGTATCAACATTTTCCATAGAGAATTTTATGTGTCCCTTGAATTTTAATATCATTATTCTATTGCATTTCATTTCTCAGCAGAATTGATGGTGAAAATATTTTACAACAATTTTAAACAACAAAAACAGCTATACAGTGACTCCAAATATTAGGTGTGGTTTTATGAAGTTTTACATTTCTCTTTGGTTTTAGTATTTCCTTTTACCTATTGTTGTGGGTTCTCAACATAGAAACCAGACCAGAATCCAGTATTAAAATATATGAGCCTTTTATCATTGGGCCCGGGACCGCTTGACCATACTCAGGAGAGGACAAACAGCAAGGAACCTCAGTAGTATAGAGGTTTTATTTTTATTTTTTAAATTTTATTTTATTTTAATTTGAAGAGTGAAAACAGAAGCAAAAACTAATAGGAATGGATGAAAAAGATGTGTTATTTTTATGCAATGAGGTATTATTCAGCTATAAAGAATGATAAACTCCAAGTCTTTATATTGAAGTGGATGCCACTTGAAGATATACTCATAAGTGAAATAAACCAGACACGCATGTGTAAATATCATATAGTTTCCCTAGTATAAGAACTCAAAAGAAGAAATACAAATAGAAAGGTATAATACAACTGAAAGGAAAGCAATAACTTGAGGACTAAACATTTAAGAGAGGGAAAGAAGAGCTAGGAGACATGTGGCAAGCCATACAGTTATATGTACAAGACAGGTAAGGCAATGATCCTGAGAATCTTCAGAGTATAGAAGTTTTAAAGCTAGAAACTGCATCCTTCTTGGAAAACAAATTTGTTATTTAACACAGAGCAGTAACTTTAGGGACAGCGTGACCATTACTCAGCATACATTCTTTCTGGAAGCATTGTTTAGTTCTCATTTAATGTCCATCTCAATACACATAGTTTTGACTATCACAGCAATGCTTTTCAGTTGGCTAGGAACACCTTAGTTATTTTGTACAGTTGGAAACATTTAAACCTTTACTTTGATTTATTTTGTAGGTCTATTCCAGTAGCTCTCAGTCTATTGATGATTTATCGATGGTACGCCAAGCCTCCTTGTGGTCTTACAAGGAAGCAGGGTCACAGAAAGTTGAGCAGAGTAATTTTTTACATTCAGTTTTACATTGACTCATCACACCCATGAAGGTGAATATTCATTTAGTATACATTACTTTGACCACACTGACAGGCATTCATGTTGGTTTATTGAAGTACTTGCTATGGAATTGTCAAAATCTTGAAAATCACTACCATCAGTTATTCTGAAGTGTTTTAATTGTTCCCAATTAGGGACTTTTTTTTTTTCCTTGGTGGTACTGGGGATCAAACTCGGGACCTTGTGCTTCCCAGGCAGGCACTTATGTTGCTGAGCTATAATGCCAGCTCCCAAAGAGACGTTTTAAAATTAATTGTGTTTCACTACATTGTATTTATTTATTTATTTTTCAAAGTTTTATTGATAAACAGATAGCAATGAGACAGTTTCAGATCAAATCGGAAGTACGGTTTCAACAAATAATACACTGCATATATTCTTCTTAGTGGGTAATTGCTGTATAAGATGCGGACTTGTGATCCTATTTACAAACACCATTAGAACAAATCATTCTATTCATTAAGAGAATGCAACTATATATCTATCCCAACCAC